ACTCGTATGAAAAGCATGCGTATGCCCGTATTCTCAGAATTTTCGAGCGATTCAACGCTTGTTAGAAAACACCTTTTCTCAACATATGTTGTCTAGGAGCATGCTAATTGAATATCAGAAAACGTTAAGGTGAAGTACGTCGTCATGCCAGACACGAGTCATCAACCACTATCACCATCACCATCCTCCTTGATGACAGCGGGGCATGGCACTACGTCACGCTCCTCCCTCGTCCAACCGCGTTTTTGCTTTCAGCTGGAACCGCTATTAATGCAGCAGTGGATGAGGAAAATCAAACGAAAGTCTTGCCGCCGCCAACGATGGAGAATCAAACTATGCTCTTTTCGGATCTATGCCAATTTTAATTGTGATATTGCCAAACCGCGACGGTCCTACATCCCTCTAGAGCAGTGGTCCCTCAAACTTTTTGAGGCGAGGGCCGCATGGACACTTTGGTCCACTTTGAGTGGGCCACACTAGTAACGTTAGTCAACCTGGAGTGAGCAGCATTGAAAAAGATTCAACATATCTGCATGGTTAGGTTAACCCTTTATCTGGCCGTTGATCTCGTTGTAAAGCTACTTTAACAGCAATCGAAAACTGCTTATTCCATTCACACTTCCACCTCTCTTAAAAACAATTGCTACTACTTGGAGTCGGGGCTCATGGAACAAAGCAGCACCTAGAATCGATGCATTCACGAGTTGTATTTTCGATACATACTTCTTTCTTTAGCCTTAACTTCATTCACTCGCGAGGAAAGACATTGCAGTATGTGGAGGTTCCGAATGTTAGGCATTTACATGGAGCTGCTTATGCATTTTGGTGTGCTACTACTAAACAGGTACTATATGTACCTACATTTCTAAGCAACGACTGAATTTGTTAGTTTTCAGCGAAAGATTCAAAATCTGGGAATAAAAAAATTGTTAATCGCTATTATTCATCATGGCCGATAAAACGGTGAAGTGCGAAAAAGTAAATTATTAGTAGGTCATAGTGGGCCACACTTTGACCCATTGTCACCTTTCTCTAGAGCAGTGGTATTCTACGTTGGATGGCCATCTCGGTTACAATTGGAAATCAAGTAGAGACGACCAATTTTGCGTTTCCTTCATGCTGTACGGGGAGAGTAGGCTGAATTTTGCGACGGGGTTTCGAGAAAGGAAAGCACCCATCGATTAGCAGTACAACACTCGCAGTTAACGTGAGCTATTCGTAACCATTAAGAACTCACCTTATGACGGTGTTGGCTCTTGAATGGCTTAGGACTGAGTTATTCGTGATAACTTCTCAACATGGATGAGGGAAAGAGATTTCAACCATTCCTACGTATGGCCAACAAGCTAAACAACCTGCATAATCTCATGGATTGCGTTTGTTGGCCAACGTTCTGTTTTCCCCCAACTAGATGCATCGTGTTAAAGTATCCTTTGACGTTCTATATAAGATGACAGGGCTGACTACATCATGATACAATGCTGTAAAAAAAATATATATCGTAAAATCTGACAGTCCCGACCAGAGATCAACGATGTTTTCCCTCCACCTCTAGGCACCATCGCATCAAATGACCACGTTTTTGCGCGGTCAACTGTCATTCTTCCCCCAGAATCCTCGCACGAAGAAAGTAGCCACACATCGTCCTTGGAACTGAACACCCTACTGACGCCCACGCCCGCCCCCACCCTCCCCTTCGGGGGTCAAAATCATACGCCCGGAAGATGGCCATAACCCTGCTCGGCGGAACGACCCGCGCCGTGATAACTGGATGCAAGTACTCCCAGAAAACAGTGGAATCACCACTTCAAAGTTTTTACGTACAGACACAAAAACCAAGAGAGATCCAGGTCGGGGCATCATTCCCCTGAGAAAAAGTCGCCAAAAATACCACAGACCCTGTCGGAACTAACCGACAATGAGAGCCAAGGAATTCTCCCCGAGACGCAAACGGGGAGATATTGCAGGACTTTACGTCAGGCCATAAACTTGGACTCGTAGCCCCTGTCAATTGATCGACGCAGCAGGAAGACGTCAGGACGCGATACCGGATCGCGCTAGTTTGACGAGAAAGAGCTATAATGAAGTTTTCGAGGATTAAGAAACCCCGCTTATTGGGACCACATTTCGTGCGCGTAGCAATTTGAAGACCAACTTCTCCACGGACCTCATTAACGTTGGGCCTAGGCCTACCTCTTTTCGTTCAAAGAAAAATATTCCTCGACCTACGGACCAAATAGACCGATATGGATTGATCCCTGGTCTTCGAGACGCCTCGTCGAGGACCTAACAGTCTCCCGTGACCCATTTGACAGACAACGTGTAACGTTAGACCGATTTTAGGTATTTTTCTAGTTTCATGAACCACTTCAATGCGGTCAGGGAAAAGTAAGCCTATTCAAAGTTCCACAAACCGTCTCGACTCGTTCGTTGCCTTTAGGAAGCATGACATCCAAGTTGGCCACCATAATGTAAATAGAGGGGTGTTCGGATATTTCCGTATTCCACCAAACGATGCAAACCACCGTCACAATATCAACTCATCCCATGAACTCAGCGCAAAAATGTTTCACACATTTTATTAGTGTGTGAAACTTTAAGAAAAAGTACCAGACGTAATAAAGTACCAGACGTAATAAAGTACCAGACGTAATAAAGTACCAGACGCCGATACGAAGGTTGAAGTGATATTGAATCTGGCATAATTTTCGGCACGATATTCGACGACACTGGAGGACGGTACCAGAGCCAGCAATATAAGCCCAATTAATCGACAGCTAATTTCACTTTGCGATGCATCATTTTGCCATGTAAACAAAAAGGGCACTTCTTCGTCATCTACGATTAAAAATCATTCTTATGGTTGATCTCTTTCCTCGAAACCCCTCCCCCCCCCCCCCCAGGAGTGACTACTCGGAGGGAGGAAAAAACCCCAATGAGATTCACATCTTCCGGCAAGTCATGGTTCCCCACAACCTCGCGATGGAACTACTAGTATTATGGCTTGAGAGGAAGCAGCATGTCAAATTTCCTTGCAGTTGATGCCCTCAGAGAAGAACGGAAATAGACGCTACTGCATACGTATAATAAACACTTCGGAGTTAAAGACTGGGGAGATGCAGTTGAACTCCCTTCCAGTCCCTGGCTAAATTAACTCTCGCTATCCCTACCCTCCACAACGAATCACTCTTAGCAGTTCGTTGTCTCTGGAGCTGGAAAGCATCCTCGACGAATCACTTTTAAGGATCACATACAACAACTTCACTTCTAAACACGTCACGTACCAGACATTTTCCTACGTCGATCCGTCGCTCTGGCCTAAGCCTCAGTTAACTTAGGCTAAAGCTCGATGCCTACAAGTCTATGACTTTTTCGCCCATCAAAACGGAGAACACCTTTGCGTACCGCTTTGGTAAGCAAAGATGTTTAGTAGTCTTATTCCATTTTGTTTTTAAGGGCTGTTACGTTGGATGCTTCGAAATCACCGAAATATCGACCTTGCATCGACGTACCCAAAGTGTGGGGGGAGAGGTGCAGGCGAATTCAGTCTCGTCTCGTTGCGAACAAGGCTTTGAACAAGACCTTTATCAAAATTTCATAATCTCTTAACTATGATCGTGGGGGGGGGGGGGGTTGACCTTCGCGACGAGTAATAAAGCCACTATGCATGCACTTATAGAGAATGATATCCTTCCATCGGTGTATGTATCAGGGCAGACCTCACTTTTTCCCCATTGCCGATGAGAATTAGTAGGCAAACCCCTTCCACGTATTTTCCCTTTCTTCGTTCTTTAAAATGTTGCACTAGCAGCTTGCAAACTGGCCGATGGTGCCACACAGTAGACACGTCGGCCCAACGCTGAAAATAACCACTCCACATTGTGACTGATGAGGATGGCATCGAGAGACTCGACTGAATGTCCGGGTTTTGGTGGTGTAATGGTAGTACACCTGACCGGCAATCAGGAGGCCCGGGTTCAATTCCCGGCCGTTCCTTTCCCTCCGTCACATTATCCTCACGTTTTCTAGTATGCGTCGTGCTATGTCCTTCCACTAAGCCTATGGTCTTGAAAGATATAGGCAAGTAGGCCACGCTTTCAATGGAGCTCATACTCATTTCCGTACGCAAGCCTTGCGTTTTGTAAAAACCCGTGGATGCTGGTGGACATGGGTCTGCTCAAGCATTGAAGCAAAGAACGCCTGACACGCAGCAGAATTCTAAACCACAACAGGCGAAAAGTTCCTGGATGCGAATGGATTAAGGATAAATATATTTTCTGCTCTAAATCTAAAGGCCCCGATACACGATGCACGTTATTGCACTAGCCAAGAGACTTGCCTCGTGTATGCACACCACTTGCTTCGCTCTAGCAAGTCCAGGCAAGCGCTTGCTTCCACTTTCCCCTCGGTTCAAAATCCTAGAATCGAAGTTAAGTCATAGGAGAAGTATTGCTCTCATAATGGCTTCCTTACTTGGTCCCTGATGGAGCGGTTGTGGTACTCCTACATCACAACATTCCAGAGACAAGGCCGATCACGGAAGCCAGTAAAAATGGCCTTCGAGGTTCCAACGGAGAGTTGTGGCGACATGTCGCACAAAATGATGCCTAAATCAATGGTCAGCGGGTGTACAGAGACGAGACCTAGGTCAAGGTCTGAAAGAATACAAAGACAATGACCCGCGAAAGATCCCTCTGACATTTTTAGCAGGTGTGAGTTTTCGCTCTTTTCGTTTCACAGATGCTCGACAACTTTCGAGCAAGTAGAGGCAAATCCTTGCTAGAGTCTACTTGCTTCGTGTACTCCCTCCCTTGCTCCTTGTAAGCAAGGACTTCGCCTCGTGTATTGGGGCCTTTACACTCCCTCCAGATGAGACGATAATGACGTGACCTTGAGCGGCAGCTGCATTCTCTTCACTACCCGGGGCGATTCACACGATACGCCCTCAGTTCCGTCGTGTGTTTATAAGGAGCTGGTGCCGCGTGTGTCACGAGATTGCGATGGCCGAACCTCGAACGTTTGACGACATCCTCCCCTTCATCGGAGGATACGGGACTTACCAGAAGAGGCTTTTACGTTTATTCGTCTATCCGTTGGGGATCATGCTGCCGTTTTTCCAAATGACGGTCTTCTTTCAGATCCCGACGCCGGATCATTGGTGTCACGTCCCGGGAAGGGAAGCATCCAATGCCTCTCTCCCGCTCTGGAAAAATCTCACTCTTCCCTGGTAGGCCTCTCTTACTTTCATTTAATGTTGGTTAAACAGTCAACTACATACGTGCGTGCTGTATGTGAGAAGCATCAATGCGATCGTTATGGCTGATGAAGATTGTTCCGTTTATGTCCCAAACAATGCATTTACAGAAATGCATGCTAGACTAGTACCCTAAGTCGAATATGGACGCATTTAACAGCATTGAAAATAGCTTCCTTACGTCTTACCAAGTGGGCAGGATCTTTGGGGAATTTTACGAAGAGAGGAATTAGACGATGGCATATGTGTATAGCGAATCGATTGACTGCATTGACAGCTGAAGCTTTACTCTTTCAATCACCACAAATTGCAATCAATCACTCCATTGCGAAAGGAATAGCCAGAACGTCTCAATGCCAGGAGCTGGAAAACTACGCTTCCTTTCCGAGGTCATAAGCCTCATTTCGGCTAGGATAAATTCCTGAGCCGTGTCATTTTCCATCAATCTTTATTGCAATGAGACAAAATGGCGAGATCGCTAAGGCCGAAACAGCCAACATGCACAATAAAAAGGAGGAGTTAACTAATACATCAATTAGGTACCAAGTCACGATCGTGACAGAAACAGAGACGGTGAGAATATCGCTCAACTGTATCATGTCTCTTTTCCATCCATCTTAATTGGAACACGTGTTGCGATGGTGAAGAGGCGCAAATTATGCAAATGAGATGCAAGAGAGAGAAGTAGGAGGATATAATCGGTTTGAATATGTGCAATTGAGCATACGTTTATTTGTTCGTGGTCCTAACAATTGCTTCATGCGTTCTCTCAAAGGCGTGTTTCAAGAAACGGGTCAATAGCTTCCAACAGTTCACCGCCCACGAACAAGGGGAGGATGTTTTTCACTCTTTGGCAGCGGGTCGGCAGTTTCACAATAGCTGCGCACAGCTTTTTCTTCGTCCTTTCGCACTAAGGGCGATAAAAGAACAATTGCCGCTCATCCTCGTGATGGCCGTCGAGAGGGGCAAATTGCGAAGTTCTTCTGCCGGAGCGTCGACCAACGTCAACAGCCAATATATGTGTTTGCAGTGCTTGAACTCTTAAAAAAAAAGGACCCCAAGCACACTCTCTGAGGGCTGTAGTGAATTGAAAAACAAAAGAGAACGCTAGCCACTTGGCCTATCCTTAATTTAGATCTTCCTGTTCTCACAGAGAATTGGATTTATCGGTAAATGGAGTAGCTGAGGATTCTGAAATGCCACACATGTAGCATCTCTAGCTTAGAGCAGAGATTGCGAATGCGAAGCTGAATTTTTCATTAGCTGTCTCACAAGATGTCTGACTCTTCTGGCCCAACTGCATTTTTAAGGCCCGGGAATACCCCTTTTTCGCATCCCGGTTGTTTCCTCGGTCGGCTATTTCACTGGATCTACTACTTTCTCTTCAGGTTTGGCATTTTGGTTCACTGAATCTCCACCATCGTAGCTCGCGATGGAGCGAAAACTCCGTGCATGGATTATTTTACTGAAGAACCTTCGCACGCAACTTCGGAATTCAGAGAGAGTGTATGTGTAGCAGTTCCTTCAAAACTGCAATACGTAAAAGGCGCGCATCTTTCGTAAAGTGTTAGAGCACTATTTTGCACCGCTTCGGAAACGAGAGTCGACCAAGGCAAATCTGGATGCGTCAGAGGAATGGTCCGTGGTGGAAGGAAATCGCTTTGCAAAGGCCTGCCCATGAATGGCGAGACAATTTTCGCCTGAAGAAGAGACCATTTCAGGCTTCATAGAAATAACATGGTCTTTTAGGACTATTCGAAAGTAGCATATGGAAACGCTCTGAGTTCTTCTCTCCAGTTTAATTTATTGCTTTAAAAATATATCAAGAGAGGTTCATGTAAAACAAGTGGTCTCCAAGTGTTATTAAACTTCTATCAGAGCTTATCCAACATATCCTCAATCCCCAAGTATGTTGCAGTGATTGGCTAGTGAACTTCCGCCATACATGTAGCAAAATATCCCGAAATTGCGAAAAACCAATTCACTACGTGAAAATATTCGTTATCACTTAGTTACTGTAGAGTAGCACTACAAATTCGCGAACGATTGTACTCTGATTTGGGGTCTCAAAAGCCATTGCTGCTAGAGTCGTGAGGGAAATGTGTCTCGCCCTCTTGCACAGATTCAAGGACGAAATGATTCGCTTCCCGATTGGAGACGAGCTGTAGGACTCCATTCAATCGTTTTATTCCGGTGGGAATTCCCCTGCCCTGTGGGTGCAATAAACGATAGCCGTGTTCTCATACGGTGCCCAGAAGTGCATCACACTACTACAATAGGAAATTTTATATAGCATGCAAATTCAGGCAGTGGTGGATCATGAATACCAGTTCCTAGATGTATGTGTGGGCTGGCCTGGTTCTGTGCACGATGCGCGAGTGTTTCTTAATTCACAACTGTTCCATAAAGTGGAGAGAAAGAAATGGTTGCAGAACGATGGAGGGAAGCCTGCTACCGGTTTGGGCGATTCGGCATGTCCTTCTCGCAAGTGGCTCTTGAAGCCATTTGCAGATGTCCCTAATTTTGGTGTCCCGAATAACCTCATCGATCGATCAGAAATTATCCAGCAGTAAGGTTGTGGTGAGGCACGTCTTCGGTTGACTGAATATGGCATGGCCCTGTCTTCAGAAGCAAATTGATATGGCTACATCAACATCTCTGGGAGGTATGGCTCGTTTGATCCATCGTGAATGGCAAGTGTCCCACAGACATGAATTTCTCCAAACCTCACGTTCTATGTTCATTTAGAAATACTGTTCAAAAATACCCTGTATGTTACTAGGGACCCTGGGCCTACCGTGTTATTCTTCACCTATACGCCGCAGACCAAAGCTTTATATATTCCTTTGTCCATGCTATGAAATGATACTTCGGTTTTTGGGATGCAATATGTCCTTCCGCTTAGCCTATCACCTCGAGCGGAATAATCTTTTAGGCCTGGCCCATCAGGCGAAGACAGCAAAGGTCTAGGTCAGAACGGCTTATATCCGAAAGTCCTTCCATTTAAGTGATTCTGGGACTCTGAGTCTGTTTCAAAGGGAATATTAATAAGGGAAGGACCATTTCCTTTGGCGATATGTTCAGTGCAATAATTCCGTATTTACTTATACTTTACATTACCTATCACTGTCTTTTCAAGTAGCCTCAAACTCGTTAAAGAAGAATCCTCACATAATACGCTCAGAGGGAACATACTGTATTTCAAAAGTTGGATTACTTCTTGGTGCAAAAGTATCTGATGGATTGCTGAATAAAGTTTCAACTTTTTATCGTAACGTTGTTACGTTGGATCAAAACAGATCCGGAAAAATGCGTATCTTGCAAGAAATGTGCCCTAAGGGGTTTCACCCATGAAGTAAAATTTTTACTGAAGTCAGTGCTCAGAGAACTAAATGCTCAACACGTTTCGGCCTTATACGTTTGCCCTTTTCGCTAGTGAAAAAACTTCTTTCGAAAAACCGACACACTCAGACGCCATGCCCTGGGAGAGGATTTACCACAAAACTGAATTTTTCCTGAATTCAACATCACATCTGTCATGCGTGTGTCAAGATTCATCTTTGTATTGCTGCCCAATTCGCTATGACAAAAAAACTCTTAAAATACGTCACTCCCAAAAACTATGCCCTCAGGGGTTTTATCTGAAACTTGGCATGAACGTGCCTACTGAGACAGAGTTCGGGGAAATTTTAAAATGTTACCTTTTCGTGTCTCCCTGTTTGACTGAAGCAAAAATATTTATGTAAATAAACATCTCCCCAAAATGTCCAGGGCATGTACCTCCAAAGTCGGATTTTTTCTGAAGTCTGCATCCCCATAGCTACTTGTGTACCAAGTTTCAGATTTATAACTTCTCTAGAACATGGTAGGAATTAGCGTCAGTCACTCGGACACGAGCGTCAATGTATATTAGATATCTAAATCCGTTCCCTTTACAATCTCTTCCTAAGGGTACATACAGTCGTTCACGAGAAAATACGTAATCCCGTAAATGTAGCCCACAACTATTCCCTTTACCGATTCTATGAAAGAAGTGTGTGCAAGTATATGGCATTGGCCTTCAGCGTCCGGTAGTGGATAGGGAATAACCACTCTAAATTGAAATGTAGAGGGAAGGTCTTCCTTGCAGTTTCCCTGCTAATAATGTATATGTAATCCAATCACATCCACAAGCATACCGATACGCATCAACTTATGTCCTTCCCTTCACCTATGACCTAGACAGGCATATGGCAAAGGCACAAGGTTTATCGGCTAGATATGCCGAAAAGTTTCAAAATGCCAATGGGTCAAGATAGGTATCGGCCTGAGCGTCTGTCCGAGGATTAGATAGGGATCTGCTAAATCGGTCCCTCAGGGCACATACATCCAACATTGAACTGTATCTGTAGTGCGCAAGCCTACAGCAATGCGTTTCCCCTCCCACTACCTTGAAGAAAAAAAGTGTATAAGAGAGGTATCGACTAGAGCGTCCATCCATGCATTAGGCCAAGGCCTGCGAAATGTACCCCCTAAAGTTGGACTTTCTCCAGAGCCATGGTGTCCAATACGATCGCCACTCGCCACATTTTACTGGGTATCAGTATTGCTTGATGATCGTTAAGAACCTCAAACCTAAGAGTACTTTAAAAAAATTACGCATTCCTATATTAATACTGCATATATACTCACCCAAAACAGAAAGACAAGGGACAGTGCGTAGTCCTAGTGCGATCATCAGTACCTCTCGGAAGAAACCGGGACTTATCACTGAATATGACTGTTCTCCAACGCATTTGAGAGCATACCCTATGCCTGTTCTCTCAAAATGGCTGTGGAACTAAAAACCTGCTGCCCGTAAGCGGTTTGCAAATGGTTTGACCCGACATTTTCCGCCCTTTAGGCACTGCTGATGCTGTAGAGGTTGCAGTATAGCAAACTGATCCCGCAGATGTCTGAATCAAATATATTGACCTTGTACAGGGACTCACCATCTTCCAATCTTCTAATACCGTTATCGCAATCCACCAATGAATGTCTCGGCATCCTTGACAGCTGTACTGCACTGCAACGACTGCCTACTCATTGACGAGATCTTAGCCCTTTCATAAAAAGTGACATTGCACCGAATTTGATTGAACGAATGGTATCCACGTGCATTTTACTAGGTTAGGTAAAACTTCATTTAATGCCCGAGTGATTACAGATCGTGAATATTCGAGAGAAAAATGGTGTCAAACACTCAAGTTCACTCCCCCCTTCTGAAATTGATAGGCGGCACAAGTTGAAATTTAATTGAACTGTACTAGCAATAGAATCATATCTCCCCTATGCGTTTCTTTTTTGAATGGGAAGATTGTGTATCATGTGGCAAATACGTTGACCTGATCGCCACAAATTTGGCAAGCATCGAAATTCTATTGGACACCAATGTTCGAGAGAAGCGGTTCCCAAACTGTGGGCCGCGTACATTTACTCAGAATAAACTATATCACTACATCCGTATCCGCTCAGGATAAAACATGTCCTACAGCAAAATTCGATCAATTTTCTTCGCGTCATACTTATTTCGAAAATACCTCGTTCTGGATTTGTGGATCACGATTCAAAGAAGTCTGGGAACCACTGTTCTTGAGTCCACAGCCTAGCAGCTACACACCTTCCTTCCTGTATCGTCTAAGTGTACTGTAAGTGAGGGAATGGCTTACGCCTAAACGTGCTTATGTGGGCTAGGCCTAGGCTTGCAGAACCAGTCTCTCCCGAAATGTGTCCCCAGGGTACGTACCCCTAAAGTCGGAATAACCCAATAACCATTCGTGTGCCAAGTTTCAGCCACTTATCATCTCTAGAACATGGTTAGAAGTAGCGTTAATCAGTCACGGCTGTTTATACCTAGGTATACAGGGTGTATCTTATGTTAGGCGTCCTAAGATTCTATGGCCTAGCCATGTAGGCGTTGCGCGTTAGTCATCGAGCGAAGCTCATGTAGCTATGCTTTTCCGGGTCTTAGGCTAGGTCATAGAACTCTATTACACACGTGTAACATAAATTAAGAATCATAGTCATGATTCTCAAATGCAGAAAACTCAGGTCTCCAATTCCATCCGAAATTAATTTTGACTCGGGTGCTTAGTATTGGAGGTAGTATGTCTCAGGTGACTCACCCACGCTACAACGTTAAGGTAGGAAAAGGAAAATAAATGGCGTAACACAGGCGCGCAGGCATTGGTTAGACTCTGGGCCCTTCCACCAATCCGACGCCACCGAATGACCTCATGCGTTGAAGGGAGATTTTAGCCATATTGGTTGATCACTTTTCATTATATGCAAGTACAACAAAAAATTTTTCTTGACAGCATCAAACCTAAAATGCGCATTGAAAAGAGTGCCCTTTTCATGGGGCCACCCTGTAGGTAGATAAAAGCTCAAAAATTCCTTTCGATGCATAACCGCTTCTGCAGAAAGCGTTGCTCCAGTCGGCTGGACAGCTTTCTATAGCCGATGGATTGAATATTTTTTTGGCGGTAGGGAGATATGCATGAGCTGCGAAAGCAACCGACCACTAAATTATCATACACTTACTGTACAAATTCCTCTTTTTCTTTCATGGAGATATCGAAAAATCGCCTTGCTGTTCTGTCGGTTAAGCAAGACCGCGTCCCCTAGGAAGATCCCGGTAAGCTTGCACTCTGAAAGCTCTTATTATTATCCCTTCCCTAATCTTGCTTTCTCGATTAGATGCCGTCTTTCGCTGCTCGATGCTCTCGGAGTTGCATGCAACGGTTCCTGACTTAGGTTCAAGATTCAGGTAGGGAGGGGGGGGGGCATTTCAGACATTTCTGCGAATTAAGACATCCCATGGCGATCGTTCGAGCCTACAAATTATATATGCAATTGGTAAGCTCCAGATAAAAGATCTTCCCCGTGTCGATGTGTTGCCCGTAGGGAACCAGGGCGAGATGGGACTTTGCGCCATTCGCGATGCTTCACATACAACCTCAACATTACAGAAGAGAATGTCCTGGAAAAGTCACGGCTTTCCGATTTGCACGGTAAGGAAGGAGAATGTGTTTACTATTATCCTATCCATAAATATTCTCCTAATTTCGCTTTTTGTTTCAGAATGTGAGGACTGGGAATTCGACAAGGAACAGTACCAGCTCACGATTCCATCGCATTTCAAATGGGTGTGCAGCAGAAAATATTGGACGGCCACGTACTTGACCGTTGGGGGAGTGGGGAATCTCGTCGGGCTCTTCCTATTTGGACCATTCTCCGATTAGTCCGTGATATACCAGTTCTTTTAAGATTTAACAGTATTCCGACCTTTACTCGGTAGCATGATCGGTATGGCTCTTGCAGATACTCTGTGGTGAGGGGTGTCAGAACAATAAGTACGCTAATCCGTAGACGTGTCTCAAAAAAATTTTCTGACTCCTGGAAAGTCTTGTATAATGCTTCAGCATAAGATAACAATCGGAGTCGAGATATCGGACGTCTTCTCGTTGGAATAAATTACATTGGTGAAATCTACAACCCAAACTTTCTAGCAATTATATACTCATCGCCAAAAGAAAAAGTCACACCAAGAAGGAGTTGAGCGATCGTCATGAAATTTGGCAATCATACTCGTATTAGTGCGTTATGAAATTGATGCTAGTTTCAAGGTCGTGGGTTTAAAATTCACAGAGAAGACTTGCTAAACATCCCAATTTAAATGGGGTCGGAAGGGTCGTACTTATCGCCCACAGAGAACATCTAGAAAGAGTTTATTAATGAAATGTAAAACAGGAACTTCTACCAACTGATGTTTAGAACATTAGAGCCAAGTTTAAAGGTCATAGGATGAAGCGATGCAGGGAAAACCTGCCGGGCTAGCCGAACGCCACGAGGGATGGGGAAAAGGGCGACGACACTGATCTGGCCAGTTTCCTTCCCCGCTTCCCACCATCCACTCTGCTAAGCTTCAATAATTTATTTTTGGTCTTTAAACCCATGCCTGGACGACGTTCACAAAGGCAGTTTCGCCAACTTCGCTAGTTCGATCGAGGTCGGTTAGTTGGCGTGATGGTGGCTGGGGACGGGCCGAAGGACTTCTTTGAGGACTGTACCGGCATGCAATCCAGCTGGGACTGCGGTCTAAACGACCTGTCTGACAACCTGTTCCCACCACCAGTACCTCCCGTGAACACGGGTAGAAGCAATTCGGTCTCGGAGAATCTGCGGCCTCAAATGCCAGTCATCCCTGGGCGTCGGGATGCGAGGGCGGCTTGATCCTCGTTGCCTTTCATGGTTTGCCCCATTCTGATACCGAGTCCACCAACGCCTCATAGTAGTCACACTTACACTTAGTCGATGCGCAACCTGATGCATGCTATAGCCTACCTCCATCATGCCTACTAACCGACCTCAATAGAACTGGTGAAGTTGACGAAACTGCCTCTGTGGAGGTCGTCCTGGTATGGGTTTAAAGACCGAAAATAAACGATTGAAGCAAATCAGAGTGAATGGAGGGACACAAGGAAGGAAACTGGCCAGATCAGTGTAGTCGACCTTTTCCCCATCCCTCCGCACAAATAATATAAAGTTCAGATGAAAACGTTGTCAACTTTGAGTGAAGTTGAAACATCTCGAACTTGAAACTTTTTCAGTTTTGGCAGGAAAAAGACGTTTCTCGCGACCATGACGATCCAGCTGTTGTTTTCCATTGGGAAGACGTGGTCTCCGAATTTCTACGTGATTGCCTTCCTCGGTTTCTGTGAGGCGACTGCCTTCCCCTCAGCCTACATCAATGCCTACGTCATCGGTAACCGCTTCGAGAAGAATGCAGTGTCGCCGGAGTGTCCTAATTTCACAAAGCCCCGTGGAATCTGCAGCCGTGGAGTTGGTGGGGAAAGAACATCGCGGCTGGGTGAACGGAGCCTTCAGCTGCCTCTGGGTCGTGGGCCTCGTTATCCTCGCCTTCGTCGCTTGGCTCCTTCAAGGACACTGGATTCATCTTTCCCTCGCAGCCAATCTTCCCATTCTACTCTTCTATACAGCCTATTGGTTTATCCTTTTCCCCAATATTCTCGGGGTAGAACGCGGGAACTTGATATGAATTGGAGTTCTTAAGTTAGCAACGAACGAAAATAGCGGATATCATAATTCCTAAATTTCAGCTTTAATTTCAAGTTCTTGTCAGACAAAATTTGACAATTACATCAAGAAGTTGCCTTTAGAAATATCAATACATTGGAACACATTAACCAGTCCACGTATTATCTTGCAGTATGAATTATTTCGAAGTAGCATTCTCCCATTTCTGAGGGAAAAATAACTTAAAACAGCACACAGCACTACAGGGATTAAAAAAAACTAATATATATATATATATATATACAGGGTGTCCCAGAAGTCAGAGGTCACACTTTTGCCAAGTAATATCGGGTGTTAATAACTACAATGTTATAACTGCGATGGCTTAAAGTAATGTCCACATTCGAGTAAGAGATGGCGTTAGCTCACTGAGCATATGGTACTCGCATGTGCATAAAATCGAGGGAGGGAGAGAGACGGGTGCGCGCGTGGGAATACACTCGGAGAACTTAACCATGAAATCGAGCAAGCCTGTGGATCTATCCCGGCAGAAATTTTCGCTAAAGTTTGCCACTCGGTCGTTCGCCGCTGCAGAGAGTGCCTAGATGTCAACGGTCACTTTGAACATTACTTATTTGTTATCCATATTACAACACGAGATTTTACTCGGCGAAGTGTCCCCGACCTCTGGGACACCCAGTATATTTGTGGATGTTCCAACAACACACCCCTAGAATGTCGAAGTCGCATCTTCCCGCTCTCCCATCGACCAGGTTCCTCCCCGAATCGCCGAGGTGGCTGATGACCCGCGGCCGTCTCTCTGAGGCAGAGGAGGTCGTAGTGAAAATAGCCCGGATGAATGGGCTTCCCACGCGCCGAGAGAAGATCTCTGGGTTCCTCCAGATGGTGAGCGAGCACGAGAAGCGAGCGTCTCCTCAGTATTGGACTCTTCTTCGAACCCGTTCGCTGCTTCGAAGGGTCATCACGAATGGATTCGGATTGTAAGGTCCCACATTTTCTCATATTCATTGCTATGACTTTTCTTGATACTATTTTTTTATTCTCGACTCTCGTGTCTCATCCGTTATATGCAACGCTTATAGCCTGGCGGTGGTTCAGGTCTATTCAGGGTTGCATCTGGATTTCGGAAACCTCGGTGCAAATCCCTATATCAACTTCGCTCTGTTGGGCATCGTTGAATTACCAGCTTACATCTTTGCCTATTGGACCATGGAGAGGCTGGGTCGTCGGTGGATGAACGCCATTTTCCTCCTCATGTCTGCCATATCTATGATCTTCGTTCCCGTCGCTCCTGCAGGTATAATCCTATATATAATAATATATAATTAAAAGTCCCCCCCCCCATTGTTTTCCAGATGTAATATTCAGTAGGAATGTCAGGAGGCATCTCTGTCCATTATAACATCCCGGGTCGAGGTCAAGTATTCATTTAAAGTTATGATAAGCTTATCCATATTAATGATACATATTTTTGTGTGACGATTACGTCTAGTTTGTCTAGGTACCTAATGCTATCTTGTTCCCTCTTTTTCTTATTCCATAAGGCATCTAGCCTCTTCTTAGAGCTAGTCAAGGTGCGGAGCAGCCACCAAATGATAGTCTAACACATTTCACGCATTAACGTGACATCCAAGTGAAAAATTTATTCCGAGACCTGTCTCACTTGAGGTTTCCGCAACTTGAACCGATTCCCTCTCGTTCGGCTACCATGAAGTAGGAAAAAACCTATCACACCCCATGTTGTCGATTCCCATTACAGACTTGAAAGCCGTCAGGAGGTTCCTCCTCGCTAACCTTCGCTCGAGCGAGTAAAACCCGAGTTACGTCCAAACGTCTCGCATACTCTAATAAAATGAGGCTGAAGGGGATGAATCCCGCGGACTGGCGTGTTTTGCAATTGTGAGTCTCTTCATGATGGATTGAGATAAGGATCCGCTGCAACTAGTGATTTTGAATCCTCCTGAAGTTACCAGTATAGAAGAGAGTAAGAATCGCATGGGATTACGCCTCGAACAACAATGTAAGATGACGTCTTAGCGTAAGAATTGTCATTGATAGAATAGCCTTTGATGGTGTGATGTGTGGATGTGGATCGATTCAATTGACTCCAGAACTGCCTGAAGCAGCACGGCGGCCTACAAACGTCGATTTTATCGACGGTTGGCAGCTTTAGGGTTAACATTACCGTGGATGACGTACTCGAGGCATTGAAAACCAGACTGAGTCCTCCGAGAACATGCCCAGGCGATTCGATGAGATCGTGCCTCAACATGGGTTGTCTTCCTTGAAAAACGGCAAGAACTGCTGGGAATGTGGGCTGCCTCGCTCCCCGACCTCTTGGAATTTCAAGAAAGAAGTTGCTTTTACGCGGTCTCGCTTCTGTAATGACAGGACGTACTTTTCGATACCTCATTGCAAGGCATCTTCTCCAGATTTGAAGAGCATTGACGGAACCTCTTTGCTGATAACAGTTCATCCCTATGCAGGCGATTCTCAAGCCCCGAAGTCTTATTCCATTCATAGGAGAGAGGGAAGCCCTCGTACCACACGATATTGCCAATTACGTGGAACGCTTGATTTTCTTTCTTACACTTTTTTTTTACAATCAAGTTAAAGTTTTTCTCGTTCGATGCTTGGAGCCCTCTATTCGGACGGTCACCTGGATTTGACGTGATACTGTAGGACTCATTTGTCCAAATGAATTGAACACAGTGTAGCATTACAGTATTTGCATGCAAATTACTATTTCTTTCTTCATTATTATAATTAATGTCAATTTTTACTTGTGCTTAAGTGTTAGTGTATGGTTCGAGTTCATGGTAGATGTTAGATAGAACATAGATTTGGGAACACTGACGGGAGGAGCTAGCCTATCGCGGAAGACCTTGGTGTGCCCTTCGTTTCTAATTGTAGGAGTCAATGGGCTTCGGTGAGAGTCAGAGCTTGTATATGGCATAAATTAGATTTTGCTGTTGATATGCTAATTAATATTGTGATGGTGGATTCAAGAACCGCTTCTCAATGGTTTCATGCCAACGGATTTTGAAAAATCAGATGAACAATTACTGAAGGGCTGTGGCCGTCTTGCACCTGATGCAATGCAGGTTTTGTAGAGAGTGGGCAACCGGTGAACTAATCTGTTGATATGTATTTAGGTCATATTTTTCTGAATTAGATTTCACTAGTTTGACATTTTCTCTCTGTGGTGCACCAGCATTATGCAAATATGCCTCCCTGAATTACTGGCGGTACTGGCGGTACTGTTCCGAAATTCCTATGCCCGCCCGTGGTGTCCGGTTAAATCTATTTGCTTTTCAGTTACACGAACGATTTCATTGAGTTTCCTCTCATCGACGATACAGGGAGTTCGTGGGCACTGCTACCCTCCCTAATGGCGAAGTTCAGCGCAACGGCTGCATTTCTCATCATATATCAGCAGCAAGCTGAGGTTTTCCCGACGAATCTCAGATCCACTGCCGCCTCCTTGGTCCGAATCTTCTCAGGCGTTATAGGAATGGTCAACCCTTACCTCATGAAGATGGTAAGTGCGCATGAAGTCCCAGTACATGAACTGCCAATCCCTTGCATAAAGGACTTGGGGAATCTTGCGAGTTGGCGTTCACACAAATGCAGGAGGAAAGAAGACTTCGAGATGTCGTATCAACTTGATCGATGAATCCTCTGAGGCCTTTTGATGCGTAGACCATTGACTGTTGTGCAATTTTAAGGGAATAACCCGCTTTTGCAGTTTGTCCTTGAGAACCTCAACGCAACTTAAAAAAATGTTGTTCATTCAAAACGGGGAAGGCATTGAAGAAGGCCTGTTTTCATCTCTTGGCAAATCGAATGAACTGATATCTCAATGAGGTTCATTGTGGATGGCTTAGTTGATGAACTTCTTCCCAACCTGTATACGTGCTGTATGAGCGCTCAACGCATCCCAAAAGCCAGAAAATTGTGATGAGTTGAGTTCGAGTCCAAGCCTAGAATCAAGGTTAATCTACGAGTGTCGTCACATTCGATATGGTTCTTTCTGAAAGAAATATGTCGCTTCTTCAGGGTGATGAAAATCCGTGGATCCCATATGGGGTGTTCGGGGCAGTGAATCTCGGTGCAGCGATAGCCGTGTCCTTCACCCCGGAGACGTTGAAGAAGGACCTCCCCGACGGGATTCTGGAAGCGGAGAACCTGGACAAGGAAAGCGAGTATTGGTCGTGGCCGGAGCTCACCCGCTTCTCGCGAACGCGGCCCGGTCGGCGAGATTTTCAGATGAATGCCGTCCGCGAGGGTTCGTAACTAGAGGTTCGTCGCAGCAGATAGTCACCCTTCCCGATCCTGTTTCATCTAACCATTCCTCATGGGAAACGCTGGTGAAAATCCGGAACTTCTCCATGGAAAATTCGGAGGTGTTTATACGAAAATGCTTGGACCAATAAATACCTGACACACTAAGCTGAGTCAGTTCTAAGTCGGGTGAGATTAGGTAGGTACTACAGCCGCCAGTGTTTTTATGAGAGTTTTTCCCATTATCATTTATTGTCAAATTTCGGCTATTGCAAGCATAACAGCAGTGAGACCGGAAGGGAGACCCGATTTCATATTCCTTCTCCACTTAGGTATCCATTTCTACTGGACATTCATTTGCCTGCAAAAAACCACATGAGGCGAGTTACATGCGTTCATTTTTGACAGGTGTGAGAAGTCAACATGAGGATTCACATTTTTTGACAGGGAAATATCAGATAGTGTTTTGCTTTCGCATATGAAGCAATGATGAAATAGTCCGTGATTCCAATGAATGAGGTCGTGAGAGAGCCATCGAGATTCAGATAGAAAAAGCATCTCTCTTGCGCTCACGGAAAACTTTTGGTGAATCCGCGTGACATTTCGTAATTGACATTCGACTCAACGCTCTCAAAATGGTTTTTTTTATGCGTTCTCCATCTACAGACCAAAATCGGCGCCAGCTGATGGTTATGAGATCAAAATTGGCCATCGGCCCACCGGCCAAATGCGGCCACCCCTTCGGTACAGCCCTAATATATATAGTTATTTAAATGTCTACAGTTGACAGAAACGTGTATCGAGGTACAATTCCATCCGTTCGAAGTTGTATGGATAGACCCTGCTGTTTAAGACGACTTCCGTTTCCTCAAGTATGTTGGATAGCGAGAAGGAATGACGCTAAGAAGCCGCACTTTTCGTCATCAGGCTTCCCACTCTGTGAGTGCATCAACTATTCAACAGGACACCACCTTAAATTTCGTTTCATCTGCTTGGCAGTTATGGACGGCCAAAAAAGCGTCAAGTGTTACGACCATCCATGATGGAAGCAACTATGACAACAAATCTACCGTTTCACTTTATATAACGAACTTGTTACATTTCTGCTGATGGCGGTTCTATAATCTGTCGTCAAATTTTATGTTGACTCGCGATAACGTCGTCGAATTCCACACAACAGAGTGTAGGATAAAACGGTCCCTGTCATAATGGTCCCAAATGCAATGTAGGACATAATGGCCCCACACACCAGAAAACCAGCTTCTTTGAATAAGGATTAATTTTTCCCTCTCAAATGTTGATATGCTGTTCAAATTCTGTCGGACGCATAACCTTAAACTTCAAAGTTGCTTGAATCATTAAATGAAATGACTAATCTATTAAAATAATAATTCATTTAAAAAATGTATTCAATGAATGCAAATTTATTTGAAGTACAAGAAATACTAAAATCGGATGGCATGACCAACTCCCAACTCCACGGATTTAAATCCTTCTACATACTGGATGCGAAGTGTTCCTCAGCCGGTGCTGCCTATTCTTGGGGGGATTCCTTGCAGTTTCTTGCAAATTTTCGTTTTGACTTTATTCAAACCATAATACAGACTCAAGAATGTATGATATGTTTCAGCAAGTAATGCTGCCATTTATGTGTAACAGGATGATAAAATATAAAATACCATGCACACAATCACCTATTCCACGGGGGAATAACAGATATTCCTTCTTTCTTCTGTACTCCGTAAACGTATGAATATTTGAATAGAGGGAAATTGTTCTTTCATACAAATATAGCTGCAGTAAAAGAACTGATAGTAATCAATTAAAGCGGTTGGGCGCTGCTAGTGCTGATTGGAGGATCAGTGGGCAAACAGGGTTGGATAGGTCAAGTAAATTGCATTAATTGAATAAATTGTGTTAATGAATTATGCTGTTCAAATCTATTAAATTAATTATATCACCATCTGAAAGGGAAAAATTAATCCTTATTCAAAGAAGCTGGTTTTCTGGTGTGTGGGGCTATACAGTAATGTCCTACATTGCATTTGGGACCATTATGACCGGGACCGTTTTATCCTACACTCCGTTGGGTCATTTTTTCCGGTTCCCACACAACGTTGAATGGGCAATGGTTAATTATTACAATATCGAGGCGTCAAAACGTGGGAAAACGTCGAATCTTCAAGAGGTCCAAATCCGGTTGTTCTTTTCCGTTCCTTGGGTCCTGATATAATCAAGGAGAGATTTGTTGTTAGCCCTCAAGGCAACAAAGACTGATGCAGACAGGTGATAGGTCGATAAGACAGTCAGCGTTGGTTGTGTTGATAACATCAGTAAGAAGCACACTCTCATCCTCATGTCAGTCGAATTGGGGCCAGCCATGTGAGTTCCTGGCTTCGACAATGGGACTCCTCCCCTAAGGGGCATCACCTTTAAGTTATAAAACCTGTCCCAGGCGAATAGGATATAGAAGGAGATTCCCGAAGACTGCAGGTTGTCCTCAGCCGATTAAGAACTGGGCTACCAAATTAAATCCTTAGTTATATCGACTGCACCAAGTGGCCTTCCGCTTATCTTCTGAATGTCATACCCAGGAAACAGTCACCCACATCCTTCTTGACTGCATTACTGTTTTTTCCAATTGTAAAGCCCTTTTTCATATCTTAATAAACTTTTTCAAAACTTAACGTACGATCCGCAGAACTCTGCGCTCTTTTCCCATATCTATGCGTCCGTCAGTCAAAAGACCATCCCTCTATCAAAATGAAAGTACGCCCATAAATTTTATAACGTACGGGGTTAAGAATGTCTATGGACTGCAATAAGCGACAACACTAAATAATTATTCTAAAGGGGACACCCCTCATCTCTAAGTGCATTCCTGTTACAATATCTCTTCAGGAGGAAGGAATAGAAGCGGAAAGAGAGCCTTCGACCAGTTTCCTTATTTCATTCAATGTAACTTCATGCGATAAAATGCTGAGTACGATATTTTTATTGTAATAAATTTCACGTTACATCAAACGAGAAGAAAATGAAAATGTGCGGCTTAGGGGAAAACTCTAGCTCTCAAATTCTGGAGGTACAATATACACATGTTGCCTGTCACAGCTTCTAGTCTAGAAATACACATGGAGCCTCTATAACGAATAACGAACGGCACAATGTACAACAAGAGTGAGTGAACTTTAAAGGAGAGAATTGCAGCTGCTGTAACTGGAATACTCTTCTATGCAAGACCTGGGGTTCATTCTTCGTCTAATCTGTCTCTTCTCGGCCAAAGCATCTCATCTACAAAGGAAGACGTCATAGATGTCTTCCTTTGCTATGCAGCGATGAAAGTATTGACGAGAGTGGCGCATCCAGCCCCGAAAGCTTCCAGTTCGAATGGCAGAGCATGCCTCCGACATGGCTTCAAGAAGGGACACGAGATCACGAGCATCATGATCATAGACGCTCCATCGCCACGCTGAAAAAAACTCTTCGATGGGGTTTAGGAATGGCGAATAAGGGGGCAGGAATACCTACATGCAATCAGAACGATCCTCAAACCACTTCTTCACTTCGGCTGTCTTGTGAAATCGAACATTGTCACAAATGAAGACATAGAAAGTTTGGTCTTGCGTATTCTCCACCACATCAGGATCTCCCTGCAGCTCCCCGTACGCATGATCAAGGAAGCCCAGAAGCCTCTTGGAATTGAAAGCCCCCAAAACTTCTTCATGATACAAGAAACCATCCTCAGACAGCTGCACATACGATTGTTTCCACCCCGCTCTGCTGGCGTTTCCATGGTAGCCCTCTCTCCTATGATGTTCCTATCCCGTCTCCATTTCTTATTCAGATTGAATCCAGCCTCGTCAAAAAACACATATTGGACGTTTCCTGAGGCAAAGGAATCAAGCTCCGTGATTTGCTGAAAAAATGGGATGTTTTGGATAATTTCATGACAAAACTTATCGGTGACTGGGAAAGGAGGGACTCTCCGATTAAGAAAAGTTGCTATCTAATATCCCCAAAGTTTGTGTACCTGGACGTATTTAAAACGCTCTTCCTTCACGTCGTCCGTGTTTCTTCGGAATGGCACACGGTACAATTGCTTCATTGTGCACCGATACTTGCTCAGGATTCTGGCGATTGTGGAGGTACTCAGTGTTTGTATACCTGAGGTTTCCTCATCGTCAGCGATCATTTGTTGAATTTCCGAAAGTCGCAAGTCATTCCTTTTGCGAATCATCAGCCACAATGGCTTGTTCTTGGTTTCCTGTCAGCCTGCTTGGCCTTCCTCCAGCACGAGCCTTACGGGTTGTCCTACCCGAATGAAGTTACGCAGGATAACATTGGTATACAATTTCAATATATAATAAGACATGTCGAGAAATGCGAAATTTCTGCGCAATACCTGCTCGTCTTTCGAAAGTTAGAGATTATGGTGGAGACTGTGGACTTGGAGAGATGAGGATGGACTCGTTGCCCTGCTTCAGTAAGTATTAATCCACGATTGACGATTGATCAGAGTAGCCCGAATCTGGTTTGGGATGTGAGCTCCTTTCTTTTTGAGCCTGCGATCACGTCTTTTCGTGTGTGACTTTTGTTTCGCCTTCCCCGACATGACAATTTCTGTGTGAACTGCTGAGAACAATTCTGTGCATTCTGAATCAAAATTGTGAAATATATTGATGGACTTGCCGGTGTGATAAACACAGTGTTTAAACGGTGTGATAAACTTTAGGGATCTCATGTAAGCCTAAAAGACCGAATATGTCGAATCTAAAAGATCGAATATAAATAAAAATTTCATAGCATAGGAGCTTTTTTCAGGAAACAAACGCAGGTTTGTGAATGCTTCCTGAGCCCAAAGGTTAATTTTTATTTTTTCGAACTTAACCCTTTAATGCCTGACGTAGCAGATATGCTACATACCAAATAAACAGTTTTAGAATGCGCAGGTATTGAGCTCCTGAGGTAAATTGTTCGTAGCAGATGTGCAACCGTCCGGTTCTTACCCCTAG